CGCTGAACTGAGCCTCACCTAATTTTGAGATCTTCCGCCGCTCCTGGGTTCAATAGTTAATATTTGTGAACAGAATATTGGTTTTTGTTCAGTAAATTGTTGATAAATATTTGTTATTTGTTTAGCAATAGGAATAATGGCAAATTGTATATGAATTTTTTGTATACGATTAGATAATTCACGTACAGCTATAAATAAATTACGAGAATAAAATTTTTAAATAAAATAATATTTTTTTTAACTTACAAAGAGATAATTTTTGAGTAGCTAAAATGATATTTACATCTGTAGTTGTTGTTTCATTAGGAAATAGATTATCAAAATGATCAAAAACTAATAGTGATAGTTGACAAAATACTAATTCATCAATGATTTGAAATATTGATGTTACAATATTATCAAGTTTTCTTCCTAATGAAAAATAAAAGAAATGAAAAAAAAAATTAAAATAATCTTTTCCTTTTTGATTGCTTCTAATCTTTAAAACTTAGATAATCAACAAATTTATAGTAGATTAAATGTTTTATTCCATAAATCTTTGACAACATTCTCCAACAACTGTTTTCTTTCCGCTACCAATTCGACTTGTAATAATTACATTCTTTATTAAATAATCATTCCATGAAGATTTTTTTTTTAGATCAATTTGTAATTGTAATTGAAGAATTTATAAAAGATAATCGACATTATTTCTTAATGCTCTATACAGAAAGATAATTGTGATATAAAATTAAAAGATATTTAGATAAATTCATGCATCACCAATCATTATTTTGGAAGAAGAGTTCTTTTTTAAACGATTTTTGTCGTACTAGTTACACTGAAAGTAGTTAGTGAACAGTTTTGGTTGAAAAATATTTCATGACTTTTACATTGAACAATCAGTTTCGGATTGTTTTCCAAGAACATTTAAAGATGGTCGTGAAAGTGACATCAAGATTTTGGGGAATGAACGTTAATTTGACTATTTGAAAACTATAAATTAATATGTTGTGTAATCCCTTACTAGGAATAATATCAACATTTTGTAGAAAAATAGTGATCACTATTCAAGAATGAAATAAAAGAAGGACTATTTCACGAAAATCATGGAAGTCGGACAAGGGATAAAAGTATAAAGATGTGATTGGATAGGTCTTCTTTTCATCTATACCCTAAAAAGTTGTTTTTAATGAAAATATCTGAGCATTTTCCTATTAGACACAGTTTAGCGTGAAATAATTCATGAGATTTCATTAAAAACGATTCTTTAATGTATTTATACTTTTTTTAAAAAGTATATTCTCTAGTTAAAAGTTGAAACATTGTATGCAAACTGATATTTTTTTTTGTTGTTGAAAGATCATCACATGTTCAATAAAATTTCTAAAACAATATCAAACTACATTTTTTAATATACCAAATATTCGAAATATAATCAATTGATTATTGAGTTATAGAACATTCTTCTCGAGTCAATTCAATTCTATTAAATTAATACAATCATTATTTGCGTTTGTACGTCTCCAGGTAGCTCATAAGGAATTACTCGGTTCACAAAGTGTTCGAAAAAAATTAAAATCTGCAAAGAAAAACAGGCAAACGATGTAAGCAGATCATTTCTTTGTTTTTATTATCAAATAGATCGAGTTTTTTTTGTTGACTAGACTGAAAAGAAAAAAATCGCAATAGTTAACGCATGAATATTTTAAAAAAATCTATAGCAAATATAAAAAATTGTTTAATCTTAAATAACATCATAACTGTTGATATTTCGTTCCGAACATTGACGTTTTATAATAAATATTACTGCAATAAATGCAATTAAACCTGGTAGAAGAAGACTAATAATAAATAGAATTGTAACAAATTGTTTTATTGAATCTACTTCAAGTATATCTAAACCAGCTATAAATTGAATAAATGTATAATTTAATTTAGCAAAGAAACCTATTATATAAAAAAACAAAAAAATATTAAATAAATAAACAAATAATAACATACCATCTTTTGCTCGATCAAGTGAAATATTAAAAGGTGATAGATATGGTTTAACATAAAAGCTATTAAAAATTCTTTGATCAATTGATTTTTCAAGTGATATATTATTTTTTAAATCATATATTTCCATTAAAGTTGTTTTTTTTACTGATCGATCAACACTTTTATACATAACAGGTTTCCATAATACAGATGTTGAATATATTGGATTAAGTGATTTTATTTGCCAGACATTAAAAATACCTTTGAAAAATAAAATAATTCGAAATTCCATTGAAAAGAAAAAAATTCTTTCGTAGAATTTTAATTGTAAATAGAAGATTCCAAATATAAATGTGAAATAAAGATAATCATTTATTAAACTAAAGTATATGTTATTTACTAATTAATAAAAAATTTCTATTTATATAAAAGTGTTTTGAAATATTTTTAAAAATTGAAATTTTATAATTAAAACAATAAACAATAGAATATGAACTGTTTGTTAACTTGAAAATTATCTCAGATAGCTTGACTAATATCAAAAAATTAAATCCTTTATTTTCAAAGGTCAACAATATATATTTTAAATAAATTAAAAATCTCACATATACCTGGTGTGTATTGATCATCGATATATCTTGATGATGAAAATTGTGTGCCTTCAATACCTAATTCTATTATATAAAATTCTAATGCAAATCGTTTATTTGGTAATGTATAATTATTTGCTTTCAAAGTTATATTAAGAAAATAACTTTTCGATGTTGATCGTAATTTTAGAAATTTTACATCACGCATTGATTCACCTGGATAATTTATATCAATAATTAATAGATCATTGATCTAAAAATTTTTCAAAAATTTTTCTTCTTTTTTCAAAATAAAAAGAAAAAAAAGAATAATAAATATTTACGGTATCCAATAATAATTGAAATGATGGTTGATTTGTATTATTATCTTGACGAGTAATATTCGTTTTTAATCCATTTAACCAATATGATTTTATTGAATTATCATCTTTATTTAAATGACCTGTATCATCTTTATCATTATATTTTATTAAACGTCGAATAATTAATGAGAATGAATTTAATGATTTTGTATCTTCAAATAAAATTGAATTTGAATAATTTCTATTGAATAATGCCGTTTAATTAATATGTCAATCATAACCTTTTTTTTGTTTGAATAATACTAATTGTTAATTCATCGAATGATGAATATAAAATATGAATTGTATTATCGCCAACAAAACAATTGCCATAAAATATAGATGGATAACCAGATATTTGACATTCTATTAAATCACATCTAGAATTGATTATAAATGGAACAGATAAATGAATAGTTTTTGTAAGACATATTAGAAAAAGCAGATCAATAAAATAATGAAAAGAAATCATTATGAAATGTAAAAACAAAAACAAAAAGTATCTGAAACAAAAACAAAAATCTATCTTTTTATTTTGTAATCATTGAAGCTTTGTAGACCTAATAAAAATTCATATGTTGAAGATAAAATCAGTTTTCACAGTAGTTAAGTGAAAATATAAATAATCATCACTATTGCATTATGGAATATTAATCAATTTAAACAAGAAAAGGTTGAAAAAAAAACACATCTATCAATACAATCAAATTAATTTAAGATTTATACAAGACGAATTATTATTTCCATTTATTTTATCAAACAGAATATATCTAATAACATTTTGAATAGATCTCAGCTTTAGATTGAAGTCACGATCAGTATAAAACACGAAAGTCTCTAATGTCTTCAAACAGAAATAATCAGACTAAACAAGAAAACGCTTCTAGAAACTTTCATACGTACTCTAATTCGCTACGTTTGTATGTGTAAATCAACGCATAATATATTATAACTCAATAAGATCATTTTTCCGTAGCTTCCAAATTGCGAACAAAAGTTAAGCCAATTAACAAAAAAAAATGTTCGCAATTTGGAACACAGAAAATAACGTTGATCGTTATTTTTATTGCGTTTCTAAATTGCGAACACTTTTAATAATTAAGTAATATAGTTTTAATTAGAAAATATTTATTAACAACAGAAATACATAACAAAAAACCTATTCCTCATCACTACTATCTTCGGCATCTTCTTTAAGATCTATATAATGATGAGAAATAAATTTTAAAGCTTTTTGATAAGCATGAAAATCTTTGTCTTGAATATATATTTGATTTGATAATTATATTGTCTTTTAAAGTTATAGTAGGAGAACAAGATTTGAAAGTAGATATATACACAAATGAACCGTTCTTGTTTTCACGTCTCAATCCATATAAATGATTATTATATAAGATACCCTTTTCACCTCTTACAGTTGCTAATCAAGTAAAACTTGTATTGATACTTTGAATAATGATATCATTCTTATTCTCAAACTTCTATATTTATATTATTAATAAAATTGAACTTATAAATAGCTATTGCAATCACTAATTAATCAAAGTGTTCGCAATTTGGAAACGCAATAAAAATAAGATCAACGTTATTTTCTGTGTTCCAAATTGCGAACATATTTTTTTCTTAATTGGTTTAACTTTTGTTCGCAATTTGGGCGTAGCCCATTTTTCATTACTTAAGTTGTTTTAAATTTAAATCTATTGAACATCGAAGATATTGCTGATGAAACAAAATCTCGTTAAAGAATTTCAGATGATTTTGACTAAAGAACTGTAAAGAAATGTTGACTTTTTCTAATATTACACTAGTTCTATAACGAGTCACTACTACTTCATGTATGAATCGGAATAGAGTTTAAATAGATCGAAATCAACAACGACTATCGATGATATTTGAAGTTAAACGATAAATCTTCATAAAAACAAAAAAAGAATTTTCTGATCATTTTCTTTTTCAAATGAGACAACGTTATTCGATAGAATCAATAATTTTCTGTTGATTTTTCAATACATTACTATGTTATTTTATAATAATAAAAATCAAAAAAGAAACGTCTCAATAAGTAACGATAACCAGAAGAAAATTTTCTTTTCATTGTCGAAAATGAGCCTTTTTTAAATAAATATAATTATACCTTATAGTACCATTAAGAATGTTGCAAAACAAATAAAATTAATTCAGCAAATTGAAGCGATTGGCATAAATGAAATTGTTATTTCTTTACATAGGAACTAAAAGTAATAGTTACAATGATTAGTAAAACAAGAAAAAATAAAAGGAAATTTATAACGATAGGTAGATTTCTCAAGAAAGTTCATAAAATGTTCAAACATTCGCAATATGAGAACAAAAAAATACATATGAATATTAATTATACCATTATGTTAATTAAAATAGTGAGTAACCGAAAATGTTATTGTAAGAGGTGAATTCATTCTTAAATTATTAAACATAAAGATATGTTGAAGAGATCAATTGACAATTGGAATATAATTATTTGAAAATTCATTTAGATATTTATAATTGTCAAAAGAAGAAAATTTTTTTTTTTTTTTCTTTAGATCTGAAAGAAAAAAAAAACAAAATAATATTATAATTGTTTATCCATTTGTTTTGTAATTATTGAAATATCATTTTTAGTTATTTTCAAAATATTTTCTCTTCATTTTCGTAATAGATGAAGAAAAACAAAACGTCTAGGATTACCATTACTTTTCATTTAGACAATATGTTACTTTGATAGAAAACTTTTTAGAGTAAATGAATTTAAATGTTCTAAGTAAAAATTAAATAAATACTTACATTTTTCTATTTTTTTTGTTTTTTGCTTTTAATCTAATGACTATTGTGATTGAAGAGTGTATTCAAATCAATTTTGTCAAGTTTATATGCATAAAAATAAACTTTTTATAATATCAAATATTATGGACTAGATTTTATTATTATTGACATATAAGAGTTGAATGTTTAGATTTTTATTTAGAAAAAGTCATTAAAAAAAACAATGAATTGGCAAAAATAAAAGTCAGGAATAAAAAACGATCTTGATTAATATCCAATTTAATTTGCAATAGTTTTATCTTATATTTATTCAGAACTATCATGTCCAATAACTAAAAGTAATCGACTTGCAACTGTTCATCAACTCAACTGTCTAGATTTTTTAAGCGTTTTTATAACAGTAATTTACTTCAATTATCAAAGCCGAAATATCAATTACCGGTTCAAAACTGGAATTAATTTTTATCTACGTGCATAAAAGATATTAAATAATTGTTCATTGTCATATGATTAACATATGCCTACTAATAAAATAAATATAAAATTAAATAAAAATAAATCTTTTCAGACTCAACTATTGAAATACTAGATACGGTCAAAAAGTTTTTATATTTTCATATATCTTTTCATAGGAAAGATATTTCATTCATCTTGTTATACAATATATTCGAGAAAGCTCTTCTAATGTTCGATATACAATTTTATCCTTTTAATTCGCTTTTGAAATATACAACAAATATTGAATTTAATTGCTGGATTATCGCAGTAATTTTACTAGGTTTTTTTTGTACACTCAAAAAATTCAGAGAATTGTATAAGTGATGAAAACTATCGTTAGTAAGCGCGATATCTATTAGTAATTAACAATACCAACGAATAGTAATGTTTATCATCATTTTGATGATTGATTATCATGAAATAATTTTTGTAGTGACTATAATACTATCTAGATTTTTGATAAAGGTTTAGAATCATAAATTAAAAAAATTTCGTTATCACCAAGTTTTATCAATTTTCATCGAGTTTATCTGAGGAATGTGAGAAAAATAACGTCATTATTTACTTGAAAATAAAAGAAAAAAACCAAGTGAAGATTTATCAAGCGTACTTATCTTAAAGTGTACTTGTACATCTTTACTTTTTGATATAATATTCAAAATAGACTAGATAATCAACAGTTATAACAACTTAGTCAGGCTAATAATTAAAGAATTTAATTCAATATCAGTTGTATACTTCGAAAATATATTTGAAAAGTGCGTTAAAAAGATGAAAAATTGCATATCAAACATTAGAACAATGACCACGAATGTATTATATAAAAAAGATTTAATGAAATGTCGTTTCTATGAAAAGATATATAAAAATAGAAGAATTTTTATGATTATTCTAAATATTTAATTCCAGTTGTCAAACTATTTGAAAGTTTCATTTATCGAAATTTTTATCAACAATCTGTTTTTTTTTTTTTTTTTTTTTTGAATATCTTAAAAATAAAATCTACAAACAATAAGCATTCAAATTTAGAATAGAAATACTTATTTCTTATGTAAAGAAAAAAAAAACAAATAATAACACCTGACTTTAATTCTTAGTATTGCATATAATGAGAATGATAAAAAATAAATTTAACAAGAAATAACACATGCACAATAACAACAAAAAAAAGAAAAGAAAAAAATGAATAATTTTCTGGTTTTAAATAAGTTCGATTTTCATTAAATTCTCTCCATAAAATATGAGGTCCATAATAATCAATCATATAATCTGAACCATCAGCAGGTCTAAGAACTTGAAGAGCAATTAATCTATCATATATAGAAAAATAATGTTTTATTTTAAGATAAGAAAACTTGATTTTACTTAGAAAAAATCGACTAGAGTACCGACAAGCATAAAAGCACAAGTAAATAATTTTAATAAATCACTAACATAATATCCCAAATAAATACGATCACTATCAAAAATGCCTGATAAAATATCAAAATGAAATAATTAAATTTTTTTTGTTGTTTTGTAACAAAAACTCAATACCTAAAAATAAAGATAAGATTAATGTTGTACGATAATATTTTCCATTTGTACGTTTTTCAAAAACATATCCATCTATTGTTTCATTATATATTCCTCCTTCACAAATAATTTTTCGAGCTGTATAACAAGTTATTGGAGCCGTATCAATAAATTTTTCTTCACCGTTTGTTGATATGAAATGACGTTGTTCACAACCTTGAGGTTCTTGTCTTTGATCATTAATTTTCGGATGTTGACAACGATATTGTCCAACAAGTAAATCAGCACAGTTAGTATTTGATTATTTTTTGTCCTTCCATAATAGATAAATCAATTAGATTTATAAAGAAGAATACCGATAAAATATGAAATACCATGAATATACAACAATCTGAAGATAAATTTGTACAGAACAACAAATAAAAGTCCGACTAGTATATACAGCTTATCTGTTGTCAATTGTGATTCATAGATCGATGAATCCGTAGTTACAAGTAATAATAGATTGCGCTAACTGACGATGATTTTTTTTTCTGGATTTTATAATAATCACTTGATTAAATGTAATTAATAATTATAGATATACATGAAAAATATATCTTTGTTTAAATTCATACCAACACGATAGGGAAGAATATTAAGCATCTTTTCAAAAAGAAAAACGTTGAAATTATAAAATATATTTGTTTTTTAAACATAAGTTGGCTAAAGGGCAAATATAAGAATTAAATTAGAGATGCGAGGGTTACTCTATCTCACCCTACCTTGTAGGATAGAGTAATGGTAAAGGTGTTGCACAATTGGGTAGAGTAAGAGGAGTGGTGGCCCGATCGAGGAGTGTCGTACTCTCTCATCGTGGAAAATTTTTAATTTTTTCCAACAGAACTGAAATTCTCTTTTTGTATTCTGTTAGAAGATAGATATTCTCCCTTTGTAAAAAAAAGTCATGACAATCGTCCTCCTCCCTCAAGACGTACAGAATCTGCTCGTGAGTACCCATGTGGATGAAGGAGGTGAGAATTATTTGAAATATTATTGGTTATAGAAAAGTTTTTCTTTTACGGAAATTAGGACACGAAGTTCATGTGCAGGTTGTACTAAAATGTTTTCGAGATGAGCAAGTTCCAAGACTACCACAATTATTCAATGAATGATGAAATTGAATTGGTTCTTATACAAAAGTTTTGCTTCTTCATTGGTTTCGTTAAAAATATATGTTCAAAATAAAGTAATTTCTTTTATTTTGACAGCGACAGAAATTTTCAAAGGATTTTTCTTCGTAGAGAAACTTTTCATCTTAGCAGTAGATTCTGCACCTATACTTCCTCATTGTTGGCCGCTACTAAGTAAAGGTTAGAAAATTTTTTTCAGTCAAGGCACATGGTACGAGTAAAGCTTATCCTGCATATCTCTATATTCAATGAGAATCATTACATATTATTATCTTTGTTTTTAACTACTATATCATATATATAAACAATCATATTTTATTCTCAATCTTTTCGAATGAATTAGTAAGACACAATAAATTGTGATTTAGACTTTACTTTCATTTACCAGACAGATACATGAATGAATAGTCTTATTTTAATTAACTTACTTTTTTAGAGTTGATTAAATAATAGTTACAAAATCTTATCTTCTTTTTCTTCATTCAATAAATTCTACGTAGCAGTAATCAGTTTTGTTTAATGAATATTAGCATGCACTAGTTCAATAGGAAATCTTTTGTTTTTCATTTTTTATAAAGAAGCATAAATGTTAAAGCTCTTCTATTGAAATCAAGCATTTACATATAGCAAAAAATAATTTAAGATTTTTCTAGCCCGAAAACATAATTTCATAAAGAGTTATGTACAATAGATTTGTTTATGAAAACAAATTCTTATTCATATATTTTATTATTATCACATATATATTCTCTTTAACATTTCATACAATTGAATCAAATAGCATTAAAAAAAAAAAAAATAATAATAATAATAAATAAGATTAATATAAATTCAACGAACAAAAAACAAAGCAAAAAAAAAGAAAATTCTTCTACTCTTTTCAATTAAACTTTTGAAAATTGAAACATATTTTTATCATAATATACTCAATGAGATAACAATAATCTAACAAGAAATTTTCGTAGTAAGAGATACAGAAAGACAAAATTCATTTGGAAGAATAATCTAAAAGAAAAAAAAAGTACATCTAGTATAATTTATCAATTGTGGAATACATACGACTGTTGCCGTCGGATTTATTATTATTATTGTTATTACTAGTTTTTCTATTCAAATTGATAATTGTTCATAAATTGATGCATAATCTGGACTTAAACGTCTTGAACGTTGTTGTTGATATTCTTGTTCATCAATTGTTATTTGATCACCATTTTCTTGTATAGATCGTGGTGCATAAATATAACCTGGTTTAATAATAATCGATGAACGTTTATATTCATCATGAATAAATGCGCAATATTCACCTAAGAAAATAAATATTTAAAAAACAAAAAATTCATTCTTTGTAATTAAAACAAAATTTTTTACGATAAGGACAATTATTAGTCATATGAAAAAGTCGATATAAAAGTGATTTATGATTTGTATATCGTAAATCATCAGAACCATGAGAAAATGTACAATCACCATCAAATTTACATGTACCTGTTTCAATATAATATTTATATAGTTCAGTTTTATATTTTGAATTGCTTGTTGACCATGAGGAAATTTTTGATTTATCAATAATAATAACTGGACCACATGGAAATTTTGAAAATACTGTATTACGTGATAATCTCATATCCTAAATGATAATTAATAATAATAAAATTATTTGAAAAAAAACTTTTAATAAATTATTATAATAAAACTTAGAAAAGCTCGAATATATCGTTTTAAATCAATTTCTTCATTATCATAAAAGATTAATTCAAACATAATTATACAACCAAAAAGGTGACATCATTTTTCATTAAAGTTTTATCGATTTTTTTTTCTATGAAAAATATTTTCTCTTAAAAATCTCTAGATTTTGACCAATTGATTGCAACTATTTAGGAATAAAAAGAAGATTAACCTCATATTTTCTAATAGTTTGAAAGATTCTTTTATGATGGGCAAAATTTTTGTTGTTTTAATTATAAATTTGGACTTATCCTATCAATAACAATCGAATAGACTTTCGCTTTCAATATAGAATAATCCAGAAAAGCAACTATTTCACTAAGATTTCTCTTTAAGAGCGATCCTAACTGAAGGAAGATCCTATGTCAATAGTCTAAGAGACTTACGAGGGAAACTTTTCTAATTGTTCTGTTCAATCACTTTTTGCTTGAGACTGTTCTCATTCGATCGAACATCGTGAATAGCCTGTTTTTTGGTTTTATTTTCCAGTCTTCACTTATCAAGTTATGAATGTTTTACTAAAATTTGCCGTATGAGTTTTGAATTGTTGAACATCTAGATAATGGATTTTCTAGTTGAAATTTTGTCCATAAATAGACCATACAGTTATTATAAACATTCAACAATTTGAGCTTAGACAAATGTATCCTTATCGAGGTATCACTTTGTCATAGAAAGATCCTTCTTTGAAAAAATACAACGAAATGTGTTTCTTTCAAATGTGAATGTCTTAGTAAAAGAATGTTCATTTGGGCTCAATATTTCAACTTGAAATTCGATCTACTAGGTTCTCAGTGATCTTAAAGTCAGATGGCACAATCCAGTACAACGTCCATAACTCAACAAGTGAAGACAGGAAAAATAAACCAAAACAGACTACTCATCATGCTCGATCGAATGGCAATAGTTTCAAAGAAAAAGTAATCGTATAGTTGAAAATATTTCTGCATTAGATCGCTATGAGATCAGCTCAAATAGGGCATAGGATTGTATGAGAAACATTGCTCTAGTTTAAATCAAAACATTCCTTTATAAAACCTTAACTCGATGAAAATTTGTCCTTCAGATCTGTCCAATATATCTTACGATGATGATTCTTGTTGACTAAGAAAATCTTCAATAATAAGTATTGAACAAAATGTTTCAATTTCATTGAAATTCCATTCTTGTTTTTTTCATCAACAATCAATATAAGTTGTCCAATTGTTTCTTCATCAATCGCCATATGAATAGGACTATCATTTATTATCGGTTCATCTTCACTATTCAAATGAATAAAGTAACAAACTAAAAGAAAAAAAAGCATAACTCTTCATTAAAATAAAATTAATAAAAAAAAAAAAATAAACAAACTATTATCAAATTGAATAAAACATCAATCTGTAATTAAAATTAGTTGATCATTATTGAAATATTTTCAAATTTAATTATGAAAATAATCTTGAAATAAAAATGTTGATCCTTGTCATTGATTAGAAATAAATTCAATTTTTGCTTTATTTCTTGGTTGTCTGTTATATTACAAACAATGATCTTATCTGTTCAATCTATACAATTCATTGAAGCAAATGTATGATTTAATTTAATATGTTTTTGATGACATACATTATTATTTGTCAATTGTATCAAAAAAAAAACACAAACTTTTGATATATGTTGAGGTAATGAAGATGTTGTTGAATCTGAAGTTAATAATTTAATCTAAAGTAATTCTAAAGTAAATATTAAGAATAGCATAGTAAAAGAGGGAAAATAAAAGTCATTTGTAGAGAAGAGGAAGGAACGAAGTGTTCACGATTAAAATCTTTCAACCAAATCGTTGACAATAAATAATTGATGTTGATGGTGGCCAATTGGGAAAAAGGTTTGATGCTAATGGTGTCCAATTGGGAAAAAGATTTTCTTTATTTTCTATCATATATTCTAAAAGATCATCTAAAACAAATTGGTATTTGTTTTAGATGGGATGTTTGGTCTTTGCTTACTAAAAGCTTTCGTTGCTTTTCCAAGTTTTGTTACATGATTATCTCGACTTGTTTCAAGTTGATTAACTGGATCACCATTTTCGGTTCTAGTAATTATCTTTCGATTAATGTTACGAATTTTTAGACGTTGTTGTTTGATCTAAGACATCAAAATACAAAATGTTCCAAAAATCTGTGAGAAAAGTTTTCGTACATAACTCTCAAACTGCTCAAGCGATTTACATATTTTTTTTCAATAATATTAACTATAGTATATTCTTCGAAGTTTGGTTCTGTATCATTTCAGACAAATGTTTATTATGTTTATAAACATTAGGATAGTAATAGGTTTTTTTATGGTTAAATTTGGTCATCTATAGAAATGAAAAGAAAAAAGTAAGTGAAATTTAGCATATGAACATTAGACATAGGCTCTATTAGAGATACTTTCCAATGATTTTTTTTGAAATCAGTATAGTAGTAAATAGACAATAATCTGAAAGATCTTGAAAAATTTCAGAAGAAAAAAATCGACGAACTTCATAATGCTTAAGAAAATATGGCAATATTGAGTATGTGGATCTTTACAAAAGGCTTCTTCATTCCGTGAACAACAATAAGTCGAATTATGACGGAATATCATTCAATGAAGCTATAAAAAGTGCAATATCTCTAATGACTTTATGAAGAACATTGGAAAGATCGAGTTGAAATGATATCACTTTGGTACCAAAGTTAGACGATATCAACAATCGAAAGAATTCGTTTTTTTTTTCATGAAGTTTCTTCGCGTTTATATAGTTTATGGATAAAAATTAAATGAAGTTCTATGTGTATAAAACACATATAAATATTTGGTTAAACTCAAAATAAGAATCGATAACGGGAACAAGTTATTTCAAAAATAAATTCTTTGTATTATTTTTTGAAAATTTCAAAAACGATAGATTTATGAATTTTTATTGATAGTTATCATTTTAAATATTTCTTACGAACCAAATTATATTAAATAAAACTTAAGAGAATATACTATCGTTTTATAACTCAAGCATCACAATCGCTTGAATTGTCTAAGAGATATTTACTTAAACTTTTCTCACAGACTTTTGGAACATTCTGTAAAATGATCTTTTCAGTTTGATGGTACGCTTACTTCTTTGCCGTAACGAAGTGGCTCGTTCGAAAATCACGTGATCAGGTAAGAAGATCCCGAAAAGCGCACACTTGATTACTAGAGGAAGGGAGGAAGTCAAGCCGACTGATCATGTGATCAAAGTTTGGGGTGTTACCTGCTACCGACGTAGCAAGACCCGCTAGAAAACCTCTGGTTTTTGTTTTTGTTTTTTTGTTGTTGTTCAGTTGTGACTCTAGTCAAATATTTTTTTGGGATGTACATGAAGAACTTGAATATCTTGAGTAAGGAAGTCATGTGATATGGACATATCTTGAGGCAAGACTTCATACATGTAATACTTGAAAGTTGAATTCAACTATTCAACTATTAGTTCAACTATTCAACTATTCAAGTATTCAATTATTGAATACTTGAATTTTCAACTATTCCAGTATTTAACTATTCAAATTTTAACTTTTCAAGTGTTCTGCGAATATTCAGTGCGGAAGCGCGTTCCAGTGCTGCACATTAGCTCAAGCTTCTCACATCCTTCTTGTGGCATCCTAGATAATGCCTGCAGCATCTGATCCAAAACCTGTAGTGTCATAGGAAATGCTTGTAGCATCCTTGGTGATGCTTGCATCATCCTAGGCGATGCTTGTAGCATCCTGGGAAGGCTTGTAGCACACTAAGGGATGCTG